GTCAGACATGACTAAAAAACCACTAAAATGATTTTTATTAATATTTTAGACATTTATTCAGATGGTGATGCAAGGGAAAAAGAGTTATAGATAAAATGAAAAGATACAGAAAAAAGCCTACCTGTTTCCTTCTGATATTTTTAGACTATTTAAAAATTTTTTTTATAGAGGTGAGAAGTAGGCATATTGATCAGTAGTAACAGATATTTTCTCAATCACTTTTTTGTTATAATGTCTATGATTCATCCCCCAAATATTTCATTTCTTCCCCACTTCTAGATAGCTTGAAAATCAGTACTTGAGTGCTTTAGAGACTGTCAGCTGCAGTACAGATTTCGTCTGTGTATACTTGGGCTGGTTCAGGGTCTCTCCCTGACTCCATTCTTGAGCGTTGTTTGCATTTTCCAAAAAGATAGCATGTCAAGGCACTAGATTCTTGATAGGCTGACTCCTCTTTCATTGTGATGAAAACAGATTATTATTGAAATGCTGGCAGCTCTATTCCATCGTTTCCGTCTCGTGTCCTCCCAGTTTCACATCTAAATGCTCTTGGCATCACTTGCTTTAGTTGAGTCTCCCTTCAAGAGCTTTCTACAGATTTATTTTCCTGTGTACTGCCATTCTTGTTTTGTGGGATGACAGTGCTTCTAGTCTTTCACCAGCCCCCTGGGCTATTTTGATATTTAGAGCTTATATTCTAAACCGATATTACCCTTGGCTTCCATGTCTTTCTTAACTGTTTGGTGACTGAGAAGGTTTCTGGACTTCTCTGGCCACCTTGTTGTGGCAGTCGCTTTACAGGAGTTAAATTTCTATAGGAAATGATCATCATGTGATCAGAGTTCTGGAGCTAGAAGAAATCTCAGAGGTCATCTTTTCCAGTGCTCTCTTCTTGCAGATGAGGAAAGCGAAGCCCATGAGGTTGTGACTTTCTGGACATCACAGGTAGTAAGAAGCAGGGCTAGAAGTCAACCTCTCATCCTCAGTCTCCAAATCTACAGCGTTAATTGGAATCAGGTTCTTGGGGCAGCTAGATGGCCAAGTGATTAGAGCACTGGCCCAGGAGTCAGGAAAACCTGAGTTCAAATCCAGCCTCAGACACTTACTAGCTGTGTGACCCTGGGCAAGTCAATTAACCCCGATTGCCCCCCCCCAAAAAGGAAAAAAAGGAATCAGGTTCTTTCCCTTGTCCATTTCCTGTTTGTCAGCATCAATAGCTTGTCTGAATGTAAGGCTGGCACTGTTATCATTGCATAGAATCACAGAACTTGAGAGTTGGAAGGGACCTCAGTGGCCATCTAGGCCAACCTGACATCGAGCCTCTGCCTGAAGACCTTCAAGGTAGAGGAACAGACCACCTGGAGACAAGCCATCTCACTTTTGGACAGCTTGAGTTGTTGGGAAGCTGTTTTCTGAATCAAGCCCAAATTGGCCTCTTTGCTATTTCTGCCATTTATTTCTGGCTGTGCCCTCTGAGGCCAATTCCTCTTCTACGTGACAGCCCTCCAGAGACTTGAAGACAGCTTTCACATCTCCCCTCTTCCAGGCTAAACTCGCCCTGGACCGTCAACTGCTTCTTTTTTTTTTTATTAATTTATTTTCAATTATCAACCATCACTTCCATAAGCTTTTGAGTTTTAAATTTTTCTCCCCTTCTCTCCCCTCCTCCCTTCCCAAGACGGCATGCAATCTGATATAGGCTATACATGTACATTCCTATTAAACATATTTTCACATTAGTGATGTTGTAAGGAATAATTAGAACCAATAGGAGGAACCACCAGAAAGATGAAACAAAACTAAAAAGAAGACAAAAAATAGCAAATAGTATCTATCTGCAATAGTATTCGATCTGCATTCAAACTCCATAGTTCTCTCTTCTTTGTGGATAGCATTTTCCATCACAAGGCCTTTGGAGATGTCTTAGATCCTTGCATTGCTGTGAAGGGCTAAGTCTATCAACATTCGTCATCACACAATGTGCCTTTTACTGTGTACAACATTCTCCTGGTTCTGCTCACTTCACTCAGCATCAGTCCATACAAGTCGTTCCAGGTTTTTCTGAAGTCAGTCTGTTCATCATTTCTTATAGCACAATAGTATTTCATTACATTCATATACCACAACTTGTTCAGCCATTCTCCAATTGATAGGCATCCCCTCAATTTCCAATTCTTTGCCACCACAAAAAGAGCTGCTATAAATATTTTTGTACATGTGGGTCCTTTTTCCATTTGTATGATCTCTTTGGGATATAGCCCTAGAAGTGCTATTGCTGGGTCAAAGGGTATGCACATTTTTATAGCCCTTTGGGCATAGTTCCAACTTGCTCTCCAAAATGGTTGGGTCATTTCACAACTCCACCAACAATGCATTAGTGTTCGAATTTTCCCCCATCTTCTCCAACATTTATCATTTTCCTGTTTTGTCATGTTGGCCAATCTGATAGGTGTGATATGGTACCTCAGAGTTGTTTTGGTTTGTATTTCTCTAATCAATAGTAGTTTAGAGCATTTTTTATGTGACTATGGATGGCTTTAATTTCTTCATCTGAGAACTGTCTGTTCATCACCTTTGACCATTTATCAATTGGGGAATGACTTGTATTCTTATAAAGTTAACTTAATTCTCTATATATTTTAGAAATGAGGCCCTTATGAGAGACACTGGTTATCAAAATTCTTTCCCAATTTTCTACTTGCCTTCTAATCTTGGTTGCATTGGCTTTGTGCAAAAACTTTTCAATTTAATGTAATCAAAGTTATCCATTTTGCTTTGCATAATGTTCTCTGTCTCCTGCTTGGAACATCAACTTCTTCTTAATGTCATGAACTACAGGTTCATCGTCATTTGGACACTGTCCATTCTTAAACAGTGGTGCCCAGAATTGAACACCTCCCTCCAGGTGAGTTCTGACCGGGGAAGAGTACAACGGGATGATCACTTGCTATTCCCAGAAGCTCTGCCCTTCCTGGGAGAGCCCAACATCAGGTTGTCTTTTTTGGCTGCCACATCCCGTGACTGCCTCTTCTGGAGCTTTCAGTCCACTCAACCCTCCAGAACCTTCTCATCTTTATCCTTTCTTTTAGTTCAATGTTCGTTTTGACCTTTACTTTAACTGGTGACTCCAGTATCTGTGATGAGTCGTCTCCTGTCAGTTTCATTTTTTTTGTGGTGGTGTTTGTTACCCACCATGCCAAATACCTTCCTACTCCTTCTGGAGAAAGTATTCTTGAGTGTTAGGCTCTGAGTAGCCCACCATTCTTTGTCCGCTTTCATTCCATCATCCTGGACCATATTTTCCAATATTTTTTGCCATCCTTTTCTGTGCCAGACTTTGTATTGAACCATCGATGTACACATTGAGTACATTTAGAGGATCTTGGCAAGTTCTTCAGAGAATTTTTCTATGTCTTTATTTTCTGCCACAGATGTTGGCACGACAAGATGCTGCTATCTGTGTAGTTTGCTATGAACTTTTGCTCGTTAGGAGCACTGTAAGGCAAAATGACCCATTATATGGGAAATACTTCAGCTGCCCCTTTCTTTGCATCTCTGAGGAGATTCTGTAAGCCACCCTACCATTTAGGTTCCTTAGGTCTTGTGCTTTCATCCATAATGAGAATGTCAATATTGCTATGATTCTATTCTTTCCGTGGTGTGTCAATACCCAGAGTCAACAATCTCAAACTTTCCTTTTCATTCCCATCTTTTATGCTTTTCTTGGGGGTGTGCCTGTCTATGGAAAAGAAATCCCAGTCTACATTGTTGTTTCTTAACCCTTTTGTTGTATAATCCAATTCTTGGATAGCTTTCCTTTTCTTTTCCTTACATCTCTTCTACTTTAGAAATGGGAAGCCCAGTGGGTTCAAGCCTTGTTTATTCATATGCCCTCTTGTTATTTTCAAGGTTGGGTTTGGGCCCTTTGTGTCAGAATGACATTTTCCTGCTCTTCCAAGATAGAGTTGGATTAAGTCAGAATCTCCAGCTCCAGATCCCGAGCTAGAGGGAGCTTTAGGGATCACGGACTCCAACTCCCTTCTTTTACAGATGAGAAAATGGAGGCACTGCCCAGGGTCACACAGCTAATCAGTGTCTGAGTCTGGATTTCAGCCCAGGTCATCCCTACTCTCAAGTCCAGCACCTTGTTCACTATGCCCCAGTGATAATTTCCTTTTTTCCTAAGACTGGTTTTTCTTTTCTGCTCTTCACTTTTCTTATTTATACTTGGTATCCAAACCTCCTGTTTCACAGATACTTCAAATTCTGGGCCTCAATATCATTTGATAATCTTGTTCATACCCCAGCTTGCTCTGCCAAGTTTTAGGTTATTGCTTCAGTAACTGGATAAGGGAATCTGCCCATGTGTCCTGACATACACCTCTGTGTTACAGCCTTTGAGGAGAAATCTGGTTGATTTTCGCTTCATGCCTGGAAACGAACATGCCCGGGTTTAGGAGGGGAGAACCACCTTTTGGGCCGCGGTTGCTCTTGGGAAAGAATTACTTTCCCTTTAGCTGGCAGCCTTGAACACTCTCATCGCTGTTGGAGCATCCCAGACAAGTATAGTGGGTCCTTAGGGACTCCGTCTGTTCCTTTGAGGTGCCGTGCACCCCTGTTTTGGGGGAGGTATTCTCCCCTGGGATGTGAGTGTTGAAAGTTACGACTCACTCTCATAGCAGAAAGTCGAACAGAATGTTATGCCAACAATGTATAACAATACTCCTTCATTGTAGAGGGATAGAAACTGACTTCCAAAATATTTTTTGCTTGCCATAACGTAACAAAATAATGCAGATTCCCTCAGGTTGAGGGTACAACCTTGATAGGGCAGATGGGTCTAAACAGCCGACAGGTTTTTATGGCTTTGTGTTGACTCTGGTTGCTGGTGACTGTGATCATTTGAGTAATTATAGTCTTGGTTTTCTTGTCTCTAAAATGAAAATGGTTATAAAATCATCAACTGTTTCCTTCTCTAAGCAATCCGCTATGTTTATCAGGTTACTACATCCGGGAGAAATCTAAGCAAATCATCACGTTGCTGATAGATGAGCAGCTGCTTCGTAAAGAGCGGGAGGTGGCCTGTCGGACCAGGAGGCGGACGTCCTACTCCATGACGTTTCCGAAAAGACTGCCCAGCACCAGCCCTGCCCTGGCACCGGATGCCCCTGCTTCCGAGAACAAGCGTAAACTTCTCAAGGTCTCCAGGCTGCACCTCACAAGTGCGTATCTGGAAAGGGAGTCAGACTGCACACCCACGTTTAAGAAATATATATGTAGGGGCAGCTAGGTGGCACAGTGGATAGAGCAACAGCCTTGGAGTCAGGAGGACCTGAGTTCAAATCCGGCCTCAGACACATAACACTTACTAGCTGTGTGACCCTGGGCAAGTCACATAACCCCAATTGCCTAGCCAAAAAAAAAAAAAAAAAGAAAAAGAAATATGAATGTACATGTACATATATATATGTATATGTATATATATACACACACACACACATATTTATATATACATAATATGTGTAAATACATGCATAAATATCAAAATGTTAGGTTCAGGTGTAAAGGGCAAAAGTTAAGAGGGTGTACAGATGAAAAACGATTGATTTACTCCTCATACTTGTTGTTTTATTGAACTACTCCTGAAATCAAATATATGCTTCAAGCACAATTTCCTTAAGGTTAGAAGCTACCAAATTAATCCATAATGAAACAACCTGGCATCAGGGCAGTTTTGAAGTGTGCGCATGCCTGGAAAAGCAAAGTATGTCGATGTCCAGTGTGAAAGGAGTGTGATGTAGCCAGGCACGGTGGGGTAGTGGGGAGAAGACTAAGACTAATCCGTGTTAGGACAAAAGCAAATTATTGTTGTGGCATAGTAAACAAGGTGATGGCCTAGAAAGTATGGATGATTGGGGTTCAAATCCAGACTCAGATACTGATTTACTGTGTGACCCTGGGCAGTGCCTCCATTTCCTCATCTATAAAAGAAGAGGGTCAGGGTCTAGAGAGCCCGGCTTCAAATTCTGGCTTGGTTAGTTAATGCTGATATGACATTGTACAAGTGGCTGAGCCTCTCTAGGTCTCAGTTTCCTCATCTGAAAGAAAGATGAGGGGTTTGGACTAGATAACCAGTAAGCATCCTTTGGCTCTCATTTCCACCACAGGGGTGGGTGCATGTCGGCATCCACCTTTTTGATTTCCGTTGTGGTTTGTTAGCTAAGTCAGTCATCCCCAAATTTTCCCAGCTGGGCTGGCTTTACACAAAAGGAAAATGAAAGTAAGTTCTGTGGACTTTGAGCACGATTTTTTTTCCTGGGTATTCACAGTGTCTAATGGAGCTAGGTTGCAGTATCATACTTTGACAACAAGTGTTGCCATCTAACAAATGATGTGCTCAATGTACTCAGTGAAATGAATTCATGATCTGCTTCATAAATTTCTCAGACTGGTGGCTCTGTAAATTTGTTTATTTAAAGCAATGTATGGTATTTCTTATAATCCGTTTTTGAATAGTTTACAATTTATAATGGAATCCAGTAAGAAAATAGTATTCACTTAACTGCCAACTTTGTTGGAATACATTATTCTGTAAAACGAGGGCAGCTCTACATGCATCAATGCAGGAGTATGGGATTTTGGTTTGCTGTTGCTGTCGGTATAGTGCTGGATGTCTGATGAGGCAAAGAAGGAGGGTCCTGTTGAGGGTGTGGGGACAGACTGATTCATTAGCTTAAATATTGGGAAGGTAAGAGGGTGAGGAACAAGGGATCAAAAATGCTGTTTGGGGCATGTTCCTAGGAAAAGTCACTACCCCGTTTCTAGTTAGAGATACAAGGATTTATAGGATTATCCTATGAGGAGCTGGGATGTACCTCAGAGTCCATCTCCGAGACCCCCATTTTATAGATGAGTGAAAAAGAAAAGGGCAGGCAGGTTAAAGGACCTGTCTGGGGTCATAGAAGTGGAGTGTCAGGGGCACGATTTGAATCCAGACCCTCTGGTTCTGGAGCCAGAGTTCTTTCTACTGTGCCACAGGCAGTTTAATTCAACACACATTCATCAAACACCAACTATGATCAAGTCTCTGTGCTAGGCTTGGGTGAACCTGCTCTCACACGGGTGGAGGGGAGGAGCAGGAAGAGGTGCTGGGTCCTCCAATATGGTCCTGTATAAGCAAATAAAAAGTGACTGGATGAGGTAGAAAGCTGTCCGTGGAGGGATCTTCAAAGGAAGAAAAGCATCTTTGGAGACGTGGTGCTGAGGAGGGAGTGCATGGGAGAGATCCCAGGGGTGCAGAGCCTGGGAATGGCTGAAGGCCTCAGCCATGGCTTCTTGACTTCAGGTAGCTGGATCATAATTGGAGGCGAGTTTGACTGATCTGATGTGAAGGGGCTGATCCTTTATTTGCAAAATTAAGTGGAAATCAGGTTGTGAAGGGCTTTAAATGACATGTCAAGAAATTCGTATTTTATTTAGGAAGTGTATTTTGGCAGCTTTGTGGAGGATGGATAAAGAAGGTGGGAAAATGCCCGTGGGGAGATGAGCTAGGAAGCTCTCAGAGTAGTCCAAGGGAGAGAGAATGAGGCCTGAGCTGGGGTGGTGGCCCGGTGGAAGCTGCTGCTAGCCCCATGGGTAGGGGGCCTGAGGCCGAGGGAAGAGTCCAGCATGTCTCTGAGTGACACGCCTGCTGGCTGGGAATGGCATGATGCCGAGAAATATGGACGGCAGAGTGGGGCTGCTTTGGGGGCAAATGAGAAATTCTGTTTTGGATACACCCAGTCTGACATCCTGGTGAGATGCTTAGGTGGAGCCATCCAGCCACTAGACTGGACTGGAGTTTGACAGAGAGATTAGGGCTGGGTATGTGGGCTTGACAGTCGTCTGTATAAGGCTGGTCACTGACTCTGCAAGAATAAGTGACATCGCCAAAGGAGAGAGGGAACTGGGGAGCAAAGCTGGAGGCACCCAAGCTTAGGATGCACAGGAGACCGAAAAGGACCAATCAGGCAGATGGGAGAAGAGCTGGGAGAAAGCAGCATCTGCCATGGCAGGGGTCCTGGGCAAGAGGACAGGGTGGGGGGTGGGAGGACTGGAGGAGGAGAGGAGGGGAGTGAGAATCAAGGACGGTAGCTTGGGGAGCGGGGCTTAGGCTAAAGGGAAACAAAGACGTTGCCAAAGTTTTTGAAGGATGTGGTAGGAAGTCAATCAGGGAGGAAGAAAGAAAAGACTTTTTTTTTTAGGCAACTGGGGTTAAGTGACTTGTCCAGGGTCACACAGCTAGTAAGTGTTTGGTCTGAGGCTGGATTTGAACTCAGGTCCTCCTGACTTCAGGGCCAGTGCTCTATCCACTGCGCCACCTTGCTGCCCCAAGAAAAGACTTTTTGGACCAGCCATGTCATACCATCAGTATGGTATGACATCCCCCCTGAGAAAACTCCCTCTACCTAATGCAGATGAGCATCTAATTTGCATCTTGCAGTTTTAGAGTTGTCTAGGGGCGCTGGTAGGGGTCACATAGCCAGGATGTGTCAGAGACAGGACTTGAACCCAGGTCTTCCTGACTCAGAGGCCCGCTCTGTAGGTATCCACAGCACAACACTATTTCTCCTGAGGTTGGATGACATGAATCTGCAGTGGGGTCTGTTGGCATGACTTTGGACAGCTCCAGAGGAGGAGGGGGCAGTGGACAGTTGGGATAGTCCAATGAGAAATCTGGCCTTGCTGGCCCCCACAGCCCCTGCTGGCTCTAAATCAATGCTCCTAAGAGGGGGGTGGGAGGAAAAAGGCCCAAAGGCCATGGGAGGTCAGTGTTGCTTGGAACTGGTCATTGTCACGTCCTGGCCGTGGGGAGTCAGAGCAAGGTGAGAGCTGGCACGCTGGATCTTAGGTTTCACCACCAATGTCATAGCAGCGGAATTTATGTCTCCTCCTTGTACAGGCAATTAACGTCTCTGCCATGTTTTACAGAAATGGAAACTGAAATTTTAGAATACTTAAAAAGAACTCCATGGAAGCCCCTTAAAAATACTGTTTTCCCCATCTCATATTTTAACCTATCTGGCTTTTAAGAGCCTATCTTCCCAGGCTCAGTGTGCATAGTGTGGGAGGAAGGAAAATGAACCTGGGAGGAAGAATAGGGGAAAATGAAGAGACAGCAGAATAGGGCCCAGAGAGAAGAGAGAAAAACTCCTGCATTGGGAATGAAGGGTGAAAAAGAAAAACTTCTCATAGGGAGCTTCCTCAGAGACTTGGGGATGCTGCCATGCTGATGCTGAGGGGAACCAAACTCAGGCCACGATATGCTGGGTAAACAGGATGCTGAGGAGGCTAAAAATGGTAGCAGAAACACAGGCGAGGGAAACCTGGAATGTGATCAACAAAACAGATGAAAATCCAAGCAGTGCAAACTTACTGATCTAGTCCCAGCCACAGCCACCTAGCCTGTTTTTAAACTTTGCATTCTTTTTTTTTTCAAGCTAATATTTCTGTAGCTTAAGGTTGACAAATTGTTGTCCTCGTAACCCTCCTTTGAGGTCGGTTTTACCGAATCCCCACCTCATTTTAATGATGAGGAAACTGAGGGTCAGAGTGGTGAGGTGACTGAGAGTGAGGCTTATGCTTGGGCTCAGTATTGGGAGAAATTCGACATTGGTGTTGCTTGTACTTTGCTTAATCCAGAAACTGCCAAGGGGGCAGCATCCACAGGGATCCCATTTGTGACCTCAAGACGATTTTTTTTTCGATTTTTTTTTCGATTGCCTCAGTGTTGGGCGTCCTGGTCAGCACCTGCTCTCTGGTTCACAGTTGTAGAGACTTGCCCGGGACGTCTCAGCGGATCTCGGCGGGGTAAAGTGACTGGCCCAGGTGGACGCATTCGAGATGTGTCTGAAGCAAGGAATGAACTGAGCCCTTTCTGTCCCCAAGGCCAGCTGTCTGTCGCTGCTCATCCTGTCTCTGTGCTCTCAGAGAAAGGAATGAAAGAAAGGCACTCGTCTGACACTCCACAGCCAAGACAAATTTTAAAAGAATAGGAATTGTATACGACGGCATCTTTGTATCTTCGTATCTTTGAACATCCTTGTAGAGAATCTGCTCTGTCTTGTTCCATTAGACATGGTACGAGGTCAGAGAAGACACAGAGCTTAAGGAACTATGAGCTTGTGGCAGAGAGAGACAACTCTGGAGGCTCTGTGCTATTGTTATCTCCATTTTACAGATG